AAGAAATTGTCATATTGGCTTCCAGGCAATAATGAATCTTCTGGTTGACTTCAGTCTTTCAACATGTGTACCGCTGGAGGGACTGATACCCCCCCCCTCCAATCTCTCTCGTACCTACCTGGGGTCTGCCTGGTGAATGTTGCAGGGGTCAACGCTCCCCGCAGCCCGGGCCATGACCATCGGATCAGGGACTGATCAACAAGGCTGATGGACTCATCATGCAGACGTGTGGAGTCTCCTGTCTCCTGGGAGGACGGAGGATCCAGGCTGCAGTGTTTCCTGCCTTGTACTGCCAACCTGTAACACTCAAATAACTGCATTATGCAATACAGTTGCAAGAGCCAACGTTATTGCATGCGCTGGTTTGCTCTTGCATTCATGTTGAAAGTTAGTGTTGATGTGTCTGTAAGTGACGTTAATGACAGAATATATTATCATCTTAATTACTCCCAACTCTACACTTTTAACTATTGTCAGTAATTAATTAATATTATTAATGATATATTGTTGTTATTGTTGTTATTATTAATATTATTATATTATTATTATTATTATTATTATTATTATTATTAGTAGTAGTAGTAGTAGTAGTAGTAGTAGTAGTAGTAGTAGTAGTAGTAATAGTGGTAGTATTAGTAGTAGTAGTAGTAGTAGTAGTAGTAGTAGTAATAATAGTGGTAGTAGTAGTAGTAGTAGTAGTAGTAATAGTGGTAGTAGTAGTAGTAGTAGTAGTAGTAGTAGTAATAGTGGTAGTTGTAGCAAACTTGAAGTTCTCATTAACTGAAGCTTAGATATATATAAACTCAAGAACAATGAACGATTATCAATGAATAAACTGAATACTGGGCGAGGACTTGAACCGTGATTCTTGTACATTGGAAGTCCAACACTGGAAGCACTGAGTCACACAGCTAACCCAACACTGGAAGCACTGAGTCACACAGCTAACTCAACACTGGAAGCACTGAGTCACACAGCTAACTCAACACTGGAAGCACTGAGTCACACAGCTAACTCAACACTGGAAGCACTGAGTCACACAGCTAACTCAACACTGGAAGCACTGAGTCACACAGCTAACTCAACACTGGAAGCACTGAGTCACACAGCTAACTCAACACTGGAAGCACTGAGTCACACAGCTAACCCAACACTGGAAGCACTGAGTCACACAGCTAACTCAACACTGGAAGCACTGAGTCACACAGCTAACTCAACACTGGAAGCACTGAGTCACAACAGCTAACTCAACACTGGAAGCACTGAGTCACACAGCTAACCCAACACTGGAAGCACTGAGTCACACAGCTAACTCAACACTGGAAGCACTGAGTCACACAGCTAACCCAACACTGGAAGCACTGAGTCACACAGCTAACCCAACACTGGAAGCACTGAGTCACACAGCTAACTCAACACTGGAAGCACTGAGTCACACAGCTAACTCAACACTGGAAGCACTGAGTCACACAGCTAACTCAACACTGGAAGCACTGAGTCACACAGCTAACCCAACACTGGAAGCACTGAGTCACACAGCTAACTCAATACTGGAAGCACTGAGTCACACATCTAACCCAACACTGGAAGCACTGAGTCACACAGCTAACTCAACACTGGAAGCACTGAGTCACACAGCTAACCCAACACTGGAAGCACTGAGTCACACAGCTAACTCAACACTGGAAGCACGAGTCACACAGCTAACTCAACACTGGAAGCACTGAGTCACACAGCTAACCCAACACTGGAAGCACTGAGTCACACAGCTAACCCAACACTGGAAGCACTGAGTCACACAGCTAACTCAACACTGGAAGCACTGAGTCACACAGCTAACCCAACACTGGAAGCACTGAGTCACACAGCTAACCCAACACTGGAAGCACTGAGTCACACAGCTAACCCAACACTGGAAGCACTGAGTCACACAGCTAACTCAACACTGGAAGCACTGAGTCACACAGCTAACCCAACACTGGAAGCACTGAGTCACACAGCTAACCCATCACTGGAAGCACTGAGTCACACAGCTAACCCAACACTGGAAGCACTGAGTCACACAGCTAACCCAACACTGGAAGCACTGAGTCACACAGCTAACCCAACACTGGAAGCACTGAGTCACACAGCTAACCCAACACTGGAAGCACTGAGTCACACAGCTAACCCATCACTGGAAGCACTGAGTCACACAGCTAACCCAACACTGGAAGCACTGAGTCACACAGCTAACCCAACACTGGAAGCACTGAGTCACACAGCTAACCCAACACTGGAAGCACTGAGTCACACAGCTAACCCAACACTGGAAGCAAGCACTGAGTCACACAGCTAACCCAACACTGGAAGCACTGAGTCACACAGCTAACCCAACACTGGAAGCACTGAGTCACACAGCTAACCCAACACTGGAAGCACTGAGTCACACAGCTAACCCAACACTGGAAGCACTGAGTCACACAGCTAACCCAACACAGGAAGCACTGAGTCACACAGCTAACCCAACACTGGAAGCACTGAGTCACACAGCTAACCCAACACTGGAAGCACTGAGTCACACAGCTAACTCAACACTGGAAGCACTGAGTCACACAGCTAACTCAACACTGGAAGCACTGAGTCACACAGCTAACTCAACACTGGAAGCACTGAGTCACACAGCTAACTCAACACTGGAAGCACTGAGTCACACAGCTAACTCAACACTGGAAGCACTGAGTCACACAGCTAACTCAACACTGAAGCACTGAGTCACACAGCTAACCCAACACTGGAAGCACTGAGTCACACAGCTAACTCAACACTGGAAGCACTGAGTCACACAGCTAACCCAACACTGGAAGCACTGAGTCACACAGCTAACCCAACACTGGAAGCACTGAGTCACACAGCTAACCCAACACTGGAAGCACTGAGTCACACAGCTAACTCAACACTGGAAGCACTGTGTCACACAACTAACACTAAGATAACTAAGATAACACAAGCAGCATCACTGTTTGTATCATCAGCATCAGCGTTACTCTCTCATCTCAGTCGTTGAGGCTTGCCAAGTCTGGTTTATCTCATAACATTCCAAACCAGATGATAACCCATAAACCCAAGAAAGCCGGTATGAGAGACTGTCATAAGGGGTCAATATTATCTGTAATTACATGTAATGTAATGGTTTATAAAACAAACAAGAATGATGGACTGAAGACATTATTGACTCCGGACTGAGTGACTGATTACCTCATCTTCCTCTGTTCTTCTTATTAGACTGAAGAAGCCACTGGCTGGCGAACCGCCAGCCAAAGTCAAAGAAGGTTAAATTTCTTGTTAAACCTTAACAAACAGACATTAACACAAACTACAAATGTTAATGATAACATATGATTGTATTTTTCACCTTAGTTATTTTTAACATCTTACGAATGTTAACTCACTCAGGAAGTGAAAGTTGAACCTACACAAAACTCTAACAATATTATATTACTAAATTTAACATCTGTTAAATTTTTGGAACGCATTTAATAAACACTTTGACTAATATATATTATTTTATATAATTTATTATATATATATATATATATATATATATATATATATATATATATATATAATATATATATATATATAATATATATATATATATATATATATATATAAAATATAAAATTATGTTTGTGTATTTTCGCATGCTCTCGCGAATTCCTTGCATTTTTCAAATCCTATAAGGCTGATCATGCAGGGGATGAAT